TAAATTAATACATTTTTATTTATGATTTAAATTAATACATTTTTATTTATGATTTAAATTAATACATTTTTATTTATGATTTAAATTAATACATTTTTATTTATTATTTAAATTAATACATTTTTATTTATGATTTAAATTAATACTGTGTTATTTATGATTTAAATTAATACATTTTTATTTATGATTTAAATTAATACTTTTTTATTTATTATTTGTTTAATCAAAAGTGCTCATTAATTTTAATTAAATCATCTCTCTATTCATTATTTGCAATACTGATTATCATTTGTTTTTTATTTATATGATTAGTACTTATTTATTATGATTGTTATTTGTTTATAATTAATTGGTGTTTATCAGGTTTCTATTGAAAAAAAAAAAAAAAAAAAAGATAATGATTCAAAAGAAGGGCAGTTTGAGTTAGGTGTATAAGTGTTTGGTGTATATGCAAATAAGCGAAATCCCAGATTAAAAAAACTTTTCGTGTATCTTAGCCAATCATGCAATCAAATATCTCGCGATCCATCATTTAGGCGTTTTTTTTTTTTTTTTTACACACGTTATTTCACTAGCATCGCAATAAGTTCATTTCATTCGTTGCCACCATGCAAGTCGCATAGATGAATCGTGGTAAAATAATAAAGATCGTGAAAATAAGCAGGATGAACTCGTGGCAATGAAAAAAAAAAATTTTTTTTTTTACAAGTACTTTTCAGGCACGATATTTAATAAAAATTTTTTTTCCTGCAAATAATCTCTGCACCGTATAGTAAAAATTCTTGATTGAGATCTTGTGCACCGACTTTCTACACCGGTTTCAATTTTGATATAGTAAAACCAGATGAACATCAAATTTGAAAAAAAAAAAAAAAATTTTTTTTGTTTTGTATTTGTTGTTTTGTCAACAACGTCGCACGCATATCAATTACCTAATATTATTCATTCTTTCTTAGAGAGAGATATTCCATAGTGGTAAAAAAAAAAGGTAGCGTTCACCTTACTAAAGCTGGGCGACGCCACATGAATCACATCGACTCCCAAGCGATTACCACGTTTCTCATCTTATCTCATTTGGGCCCCAGCAAAATTCCTTCTTATTTTCCCAAGCGGTTCGCCCCAACAAAACCATTCGAATCATTCATTAATCCTAAAATAAAATAAATAAAATAAATAGAGTAGAATAAATAAAAATAAATAAGTATGCGAAACTTGCGGACTCGTCTCGAATAAGAAAACCTTGTGACAGGTTAGTCTGATTAGGAAGAAGACCCTGGATTTTCAGTTTTGAACTGAAACCATCGATAATGACAAACATCTAAATCTCACGACTTGGAGTAGAGGTGGAACACCATTCCCCTAAAGGAAATTTGCTTTCAGGTCACCGGAGATTTGAAGCCAAATGGCTATCTGGGTCAGATTATTCGGGTTATACTATTCGAGAAGCCCCAAACATCTAAAAAAAAAATCCACACATTCCACGTCCCTGAATTTACAAACGAAAAAAAAAAAAAGAAAAGAAAGAAAAATAGAAACCGGCTTCCTCTTTTGTTCGGATATCAAGAAAAATCAAGTTGTTTCATTTCTTGTTTGTATGATTCCGGAAAAGTTTCCATACCCAGTAAGCTATAAATAGTTTTGTTAGTTGCGGATCTCTGCCATGCATCTGCTTGGACATCACGGTGACAAAAACGTTTTCATCGCCGATCAAATTATTTTAATGACAAATTAAAGAGAATTAAAAATTTTTTAAGGAGACCATACATAAATTTGTCATTTAAGGCCGATTTGTTAATTAATGTAAAACATCATCACATCTCCCTTCAAATCGTGTTCTAAATTCACAACATCATGCATAATAAAACCGTCGTCCTTTTTCGGTTTTTTGAAACGAAGATCTATCTTGCAGCCACACCTTGTCGCACGTGCAGAGGGTCATGCGGAATCGGTAGACGAAAAGCGAAGACAATCAAATGTGGCGAGCAAGTTTCGAGATCGAGATTCATATGTGCATACGTGTCAACATGACATCGCCAAAGATCAAAGGAGGTGGTGGACTATCATTCACCTCTAATACCTAATGCCCAAGCAGTAGAATATTCGACTGCCGAAACGACACGGGAGACGTGACACTAATTGAAACCGGAGTGTGTGTGTATGGAAAATGATCACGGGTGTTTTGTGGCGCCTCCAAAGCATTCGTCATTTGTTTATATGGGAAGAGAAATCACACATGCATTGGCTCTTCTCAAACAACAAATGTCAATGAAATGTGTAAGCAAACAAGTCGCGCAATTATTAAGCATGTTGATGGTGAATGGTACATAGCATGTCCGTCTATACTAATTTTGCACCCAGGCCTATGCCCAAGTTAGCCTTGTTCACCTTGCGCCAGGCTTACCGTATTTTTTGTAGATTGGTCGAATTGATTATATTGCGATGCAATAATGTGCAATCAATTATCACTTTCTTAAACTCGGGGAGGGTCAAAGTCATGCAAGAAATTGATTTTGGGGATGAAGAAAAAAAAATAAAAAATGTTGAAACGCCAAAGAGATAGGATATTCTGTTTTTGGTGATTACACGGATGGCATGGCAGGGAAGAGGAAACATCAATGACAAAAACAAAAATTACGCCATCTACTGCATCAAACCAAAAAAAGGAGCACGCATTATTATTTGCATCATCATTTTTCTTTCTTATGCGATGATAAGAAATAAGAAAATTTAACGGAATAAATTTGTAATTCGTTGGATCTTTGGTGATGTGAGTTAAAATAATCTCGATGATCAAACAATTTGCGGTGGTTGTTGGGAAAAAAGAAAGAACGTAAAGGCGTGAGAATAATGAGAGGCATCCAAAACAAGAGATTCGTTCCATGATGTATTTGATTGCGCACGATACGCAAACTTTATTGGCTATTGCCATTAAAAAACATCGTTCGGCGTCTTCGTGTTCGAGGGTGGAATGCAAGAAAGCGCATGTTATTGTTTATTGTTTATCGCTCTTTTGCCGTCTCTTTATGTGAACAACGAATTCCCTTGAGATCGTACAGTATTACCGAATGTCGCCGAGTGATTTGCGTCGGTTGGTGTGCAAATGGAATGTTCATTCACCGTGATAGACATAAAGATCGATTGTTCATTCACTCGTTTTGGCTGGCAGCGAGATGCTTCCCCATTCTCCTTGCAGGATATTCTTGAAACGTCGGGTGAGCAAAGGATAATTAATAATGGTGGTTTCGCGATTTCTGCACGAAAACGTCTCACGATCATTTGATTTTTCAGGTCCTCGGAGGCGATTGGATCGACCAACAATTTCGGAACAGGGTATACTACAGTACATGCAAGTCATGCATGCACAACCTTAATCATGCATACGTATTCCACGAAAATTGGTGCATCAACTTTTTTTAATTAGATCGAAAAAACATTGATTAATTAAAAAGAGTAACGGCCCAACATATCAAAGCGCACGCGAGAATTGGGCGCGTGATGCTTGTGCGACGGTACTTGTGGTGTGCGTTCATCAACGTGTACAGGATATGCGCACCATAGATCGAGGATTCGCACAAATTTACAAGAACCTATGAAGACACCCCGTTCATCATCACCACAAATTAATTCTTTATGCGATTTCATCGGTTCAAACAGGAGGAATCTTGTATCACGCGTTCATCGAAGTGTGTGTGTGTGTGTGCGCACACTTATTCGAGATAGGTATTTTTTATCACGTCAAGCGAGTGTTTTACGTAAATGAAGATACCTTGTCTCTCTCGTCGTTCCGTATTGGTATCACGTAACCAAGATTGACCATCCTCTGTTTGTATTACAATCACAAATACCCGACATAGTAACAGGTGTGCGTCAGGCGAGAAGATAGGCGATCACCAAATTCTTTGTTGACTGTGACGGTGGTGGCTTTGTTGATTTTCAATGAAAAAAAAAAAAAAGAAAAGAAAAAAAATTTTTTTTTTTCTTTCGATGTAATATCTAGATTAGTCTGACGGAAAATTGAGATATCTTATTCCACGTAAACCGGAACCGGGGTTATTGGTAGTGCACTTGTACCAAAAAATCTGCGCCCTTCTTTCACAATCTCCTCATTTGGAATCTCATAAGGCATTTGCGATTTCAAATTTCAACATATAGAGAATAAATGGAAGCCCAAGGAAAAAAAAAAAAAAAAGGACGTGACACCAGAATGGGTTGGTCAGGAAACTGAAACCTGAAATCACCCAAACGATTATTCGAATTTTTCCATATGGAGAATTTAGGCGGGATAATAATTTCAATGATTTTTTGTGTTATGCCTTGCGATTAATGGTGACAACACAACAACTAATAGCATAACAATAATATTGTCACAAGCAAATGATATTATAAGTAAAAGAACATCAATATAAATAACATTAATACGGTGCGAATAACATCAATGCCAATAACGTTAACAATAACAATATTATTAATTTATCATTCTAGTTTTATTAGTGTTATTATTGCGCATCGTTGTGATTGTTGTCTGTCCTCAGATTTTCTTTATCTGCTGAAGACCAGGAAGACCACATGGTCACTTGAGAAGGATTTTTAATTGAATTTGTCATTAACAAAATGAGTGACAACAAGGATTACTACCATACAGGATCAACGCAAGATATTAAGGTTTTTTTATTATGCAAAAATTCCACGCATGGATTTAATGATTTAATTTAATTTATCCCGAATTGGGTTCTTTCAACAATTAACGATTGTTTGTTCGACTCGATGACCGTCGGTCACTGGTCGTAGTAGCATTCATCATCTTTTGTGCTAAAAAAAAGATAATTTCTTTGATATACTTATTGTTTTTTTCCATGATGCCGATCGAGATCATGCGATACTTAATGTTTAACATCTACACGCACACACACACCAATTCGATTAGATTATATTAACGGTGGATGTTTTTGTCGATTGTGAATCACACTTGAACCTGGGAATCGTGTGTGTGTGTGTGGTGTTCATCCTTAATCTACCTACCTGCAGTGAGTCACACACACGGTATTATTCATCACTCGACTTCCCTTGGAAACCTAATTTATCACTCGACTTTCCTTGGAAACCATTTTCATCCGATTTTTAATCCAAACGCCACCAAACTGTTGATGAAGGGATGCAGTATATGATGTAACACACCTTTTACATCTTGCATTACGTATGACATGCACCTACGAAATTTTCCTACGCCTTCTCCGAAATGGAAGTAAATATTTATCTGTTTATTTCCACACCTCCTATGGAAATCCCTATAATTCAGAGGGTACGGGTCTGGAAAGATACAGGTATTCCCGACTTCACTATCCCTTATTAATCGCCCTTTCTCATTATGCATTCCTAAACGAACCGTTGAATCAAGTCACTAATTTAGAAAACGACGGAAAAGAGCGAGAGGTTAAATTGTACGAATGCGGAATTCGTTGTCCTCGTACTAGTGCGCCGTGTATGCATCCATTATATCAAGACACGGCGATATCAATTCGTTTCCAACTTTTAGTATCCCGGATTCACCTAGGACAAGTTAACTAATGCATGCAATTTCTTGGCTACAAGAAAACAATTATGTTGTATGCTCATAGGCGTGTAACATAGGGAGCGCACAGTTATGTACACGATACCCATACGTTCCGCGTACTGTATAATGTACATAATGTACATAGCCACGACGCAACGTGGTTAATGTACGTACGTACGCACTCACTCTGTGCACACGCGAACAACTCTCGATTCGATAAATAAAATGTCCGCACACAAAGCCTTAAATGAATAATAATAATAATGATGATGATAGTGGTCGCTGCTTGGGGGGAAAATAAACATTTCAATCGTCACAGCGTGTCCTTCATTTATATTCATTCATTCATTCTGGCATTGCTTACATTGTGTTCTTGTTAGAGAAGCTGATGTTAATGTAATCGGCTCATCAATGAATAAATGAATAAATGAATTAATGGGCGATTCAAGTATTCGTTTCGTCGAAAGCGCATTTTGCTTATCGTCATCATCGCTAATAATTGGTACGCATATACGTAGTCATGATGATATAATGCGATCAAAACGTAATGGTGAACGGTATTCGCGATTTGCATGAAACGCTTGCAGGGAGAATAAAAACCGTAGAATCGGTCCGAATGTCTCATTTTCACTTCTAAAAAAAAAAAACGTCGGTCATTTCGGCGATGTGCCACTAGCACCTTCTCGTACATATGTGTGCAACTGTTTGTTATGTAATAAGTCAAACAAAATCATGCAAGTTATCATTATTATTATTAATTTTTTTTTTTTTTTCAGAACGGATTTGGTCAATGAATCACGTACATACATACGTACGTTTATGTTTATATTTTTGGCATTTTGGTTAGCCGAAAAAACTATGCATTTATCTTATTCCTCATAGTTAATTTATGAATAAACATTACAAATCCTTTTAGGTTGTATCTGGTTAGTCCTTTTCATTGTGATGTACGAGCAATCGTTTGCAATTATTGCCCCAATCCATGTCCATTCATTGACTCCTTATCTACCTTTGTTGGCAATAAATCTTTATTGAATCACGATTCGCTGAGCTCTGCATTCACCTTCTACCGCTTATCGAAAAACTAGGTTCTTTGCTTACTGTGAATGGAATGGATAATGGATGGGGATGGATGGATGAACGAATCGTGTGCCGCAGCGATACTGTGGGCGTCGACCGAAGAGTAGACGACGAACGAACGAACGACATGCAAACTTGTCCAATTGTAATTCATCTCACATCACCGCTATAACCAGCCTTATCACTTATTCAACGATGGTCTTTCTTAAAGCAAAGTACATCGTCTGCATAGCCTACTCGTACCTGCATAAGAACACAGGTGCGTGCGTCATACAGGGATTCGAACAAGATTCGAAGAGGTTAATACACGATGCGATATTAGATTTCGCTCTGCTATCGTCACTCGTCATTATTTTGATGCGTGCTGTAGGGAGTTTTTTTTTTTTTCAATGCAATGCTCACTGCCACCACGGTCATTATTTCATTATTTGGTGTGTCGGACAGAAAAATTTCATTATCATAATTCCGTTTGCGCATCCATCCTGCATTCTTACCGGGATATTTCATTTGAATCAAAAAAGAATGCCAGAATGAGAGATCAGTCACAACGCACGATGAAAGAGAATGCATCATCATCATATAAATAATTCCAAACAATGTTCTTCGAGTTACACCACGACGATTGCGAACGTGCATTACAGGTATCCATGACTCGATGTAATATGAATCTACAGTATATAACACGACCAAAAATGTACGACCACCCGCCACCGAGGTTCTGTGCATGTTCGGCACCGAGTACAGCATCTTAGCCTCTCTGTAATTATATGATTCCACGGTAACTCTTGGGCGTTATGCAAGGAAAATCTTTTTGTGAACGTAATTACGTACGTACTTACGCACTTGGTCCAAAATGATCAGTTACACCGAAACGAATGGTATAACGCACACACGCATCAGGTAATTTATGAGGTGATAGGCACTCTTATTCTCGCTTAAGATAAGATGGAATTTGGTAACTTATTAATAATTACACAAATTGCTCATTCATTGTTTCATTCACATCATTCATTCATTCATCCATCCATTTTATATTGATCATACCCAGTCCACTATTCACGCAGCAGATTTCTTGTAAAATCAAAAAATAAAATAAAATAAAATAAATAAATTAATTAATAATAATAACGATAATAATAATAATAATAATAGTAATAATAATAATAATAATAATAAAACAAATAAAAAATGCAATGATTTTTTTTTTTTTTTTATTCTCACACCAAATCAATCAATCCGTCTATCGTGCAGGCGTTAGGCTGAAAACCAAAAGAAAAAAAAATACCAGCGGAATTTGCTCCATGAAATTAGGGGGGGAGGCGCTACTGAATGCTAAGTACGACGTTAATATCACCCAGATTGGAACTTGGAATTTTCTAGATTCCCGTGGATCCCTTCACAATTGGGTGAAGCTCAATTCATTAGACGTTTGTGGGTTTGATTATTCGCCCTTTCCACCCGATGGAACGCTTTTCTCTGCGAAGCTGCGGCTATGCTCTATGGGCGGCATTACAGGAAAAAATCATGTAATTTCTTTACAACAGCGTACTATAATAAAAATATCAATGATTTTAAAATTCTTAATCCGTGTGACAATGGTCCCCTAAGACTCGCGTGCCTTTCAGGTTTTACAGTAGGTTACGGTTGTGAGGCGGGAAAGGCGGAATAATGTGATGTGTGACTGGGTGGTATGATTAGCCTATTCGGGTCACCATTGCAACCGTTTTATTGTAATGGGCCTTTTTTTCTATTATAGGTGATGATGGATGGGTGGGTTGGACATTTAAGATTTTTTAAAATAGCAAACCCACTTACTGTATGTTCAGGGAATAAAAAAAAAAAAAAAGAAAAGAAAAAATTGAACATGATAACGATCCATTTTAACGAACGTATGGGAAATTAAGTGAGTCCCTTTGATTCATCATCGAATAATCACCCACACGCACATTAATTAGCTATTCTCATTCAGTACATGTATTATATACAGTATATACTCAGTCTACCCTTTTTTTTTTTTTTATATACACGTGCCCGATAAACTTTAAATCCACGGTTACGCAATTGTTATACGATACCTTTATAAAGGTATAAACAATAATTAAGATAAATAGCTGCACGAATTTTTTTTTTTTTTTTTATATTTTTTTTATGCACTACTAATTATCGTGATACACGTTCTTTCAAGTAACACTTTTTTTATACGCACACGCAGTTATCACAAAAACGAAAAGTATAAAAAGAGATCCCCTTGGCTCACAAAAAAAAAAAAAAAAATTAACAACGCAACAACAACAACAGCATAAATAAATAACAAAAGAACAACTGTTTTTTGTTTGTATATATGCGCCCTGAAAGTTTTTCCTAAATATTTGCGTTTTTTTTCTTTTCTTTTTTTTTTTTTTCAAATAACCATATAAAATAGATAAATCAGTCGAGCTTTTTTTTTTTTTTCGGTGCCTAGCATTCATCCATTCTCCATTTAAAGTTTAAAATCACTTTTTTTTTTTTTTTAAGTACTCACAGTATATTTTTCTGTAAGCCGAATAATCTTATTGTTGATTACCCAATCAATTTATAATAGGCACACTTAATTTACTTTAAAATTCTTTTTTTGGATTTACCGCCTTCTTTTTTTTCTTTAAATATAAACTCAAATTTCCCCTGTCCTTCATACTTCAAAAGAAAAAAAAAACTCAAACCACCTTAAAGATAAACCGTGCGATACAACTAAATTAAAGAAAACTTTATCTTTCAAAGACAAACGCACACACACACACACACACACAACAGCAACAATCATCATTATGGGTGGTCGACAATCGAAAACCGCTGTGGTCGGTGTTCCTCAAACTTCGCTCGTCAAAACCGACGGCAAGGCTGAAAGGCGAAAAAAGTTTCGCTCCTGGCGTTCGGCTGCACCTGCGCTCGATGGTAATTCCATCAATGATGCATGGCGTTTCGCCGGAAACGGCAAGAGAATCCATAATTTGAAAAATTCAAAATTGCTCGCTCCGCTGGTCGACGAAGAAGCCGAGAGATTAAGAAGACAACATCGATTATACAAGAGGATCTGGCAGAACAACTTTTCGGCCCCCGTGGAAGAAAAATTAAAATCCGGTGGCGCCAGGGTTCTTGATGTCGGGTAACTATCTGTCATTTGAGCTGTTGTCACCGCTCATGAAACAATTTGCTAATAATTTCATGTTCTCTCGTTTTTCTCATCAAAGGTGTGGTCCGGGAACGTGGACAATCGAAATGTCCGAAGCGTACCCCCTCTCCTCATTCATCGGAGTAGATTTTATGCCGATATTTCCACAAGAGAAACCCGAAAATGCAAAGTTCATACAGGCCAACATACTCGACGGTCTTCCGTTTTTGGACGACACATTTGATTTCGTTCACATGAGACTTCTGGTCACCGCTTTCACGACCACGGAATGGGAGCAAAAAGTCATTCCGGAAATAATAAGAGTCACAAGGCAAGGTGGATGGGTAGAATTCATGGAAAGTGACATTCAATATTGTAACGAAGGTCCGACGACGGCGCGATTAACCAACTCTCGTAAGTATTTCTTCATCTCTCGACTTCTTTCCGTCACAAACGATTTAATTAATTTACACCTCACCTTCTCCCCCCGTGCAGTGATGACAATCATGAAATCTAAAGGATTTGTTACACCGATAAATTCTTATGTTCCTCAATCGATGGAGGCCAACGAGAAGTTTATCAAAGGCATCCAGACCGAGGAAAAGTCATGTTTCGTCGGCCACTGGGCACGTGAACTTGGTCAAATGGTGAGTTTTCGGGGCGAATTTCTTTTCGAGAAAAAAATTGTTAACTCGCAACCTAACCATCTCATTTATCCTTTTTCTCAGGCCGTAGATGACATTACCAAAGGATGGAGTGCGGTCAAATCGCCGATGTCAACATTGATGAAAGTGAAATCTCATGAATACGATGAAACCGTGGCAATCTTTGCCAAAGAAGTTGAGCAATATAGGACATTTTTCAAAACTTGGCGATTCTTCGGTCAGAAGGCAGTTACCACTTCCTTGTCGTCGTCCATATCCACCCCATCTAAATGGAATGAGCAAGAGCAACAGCAAGAGCAACAACAATGATCTCGATCAACAATCGAACAATCCGAATTTATGCTATATATCTCTGTCGATACTTAATGATGTTGGCGTATCGATTAATTAATAATATTAATAATTCCATCTTACCTAACTCACATCCAGTATATACTGTACATGCACATACACATACCCACACTCAATAATTGCATCTCGATTAATAGCTACTTCAAGTTCTTTTATACATATAATATTAGGACTGTTCTGCCCTGTTTTACATACATTCAACAGCTCTGTCTAAACTTGTTTTGTATTTTTAATTCTTGTAAATTAGTCTTATATTCCTTTTTCCTATTTTCAATATATTTTGTTACATACAGTAAATACATAGTATATAATCATCTATATATATATATATATTATCTTGATGGTGCAGGAAGCCAGAAACATTTATAGCACACATGCCGGGGACGAGAAATTAATGAAAAAAAAGAACTTTGTTTTTTTAATAACATTAAATACGAGTATATGTCTATTAAAAAATTTTTATAATAACATATTTCACAGTAAACTAAACGATGTTCTATATTTTCAAAGAATTTTCGCGTGTAATTTCACTCACTTGACGAAATCAATACAACACTATATATTTGTGAAATAACTAAAAAGTATTTTACGTATGAGTTTTTTTTTTTTAACTTGAACTTGCTTTGAAAGTTACCATTGATTAATTAATCGATTATTTAATTAAACATTTAACCATCTTATTTTTTATTAAGATAAACAAATTATTTGTGTTTTACACGTGTCAACTTAAAGTTAATAGACTTTGAGCACTTTGGGATACTTCATATATCAATAAAGAATAATGCTTAATGCCTGTAGAAAAAAAAAAAAAAAATGATATGAAAATCATACATGTTTACTGTATTCTGTTAACCATTCTGTTAAACATTATCGTTACCGTATCGATTATTTTTTCTTTTGCGGAATTCGTACGACACATGGTGTTTGTTATAAGGAAAAATTCTTTTTCATCAGTACGATACTGTAATTGATTAGGTAACCTGATTGCATTTATGAAATTACCTATAGTCGTGATTTTCTTTATTCTCTTCATATTTGGTTCTTTATCTTCTTTATTTTTCTTAATTCTTTATTTTCTTATTTTTGTATTTCATTACAAGCATATACATTGTATGTAAAAGCCTCAAGAATGACAAAGACGGAGGAAAAAACAATCCCAACACTTTGTTAATGAAATCCTCTTAAATTGACGGATCCACCGCCCACTTTTCGCCTTACATCCCCCCGCAAGTACTTACCAGAACCCGTAACGCAATCTGGGATTCCGTTACGCGAACGCGGCACCAGAACAATAGTATATTCATATACTGTATTATTTAAAAAAAATGAACCTAAAATTTTTGGACAAATTGTCCAATGACTTCACCGACCTACTTGATGATAAAGAAGGTCACGATGTTACTATTGAAGTGGGCGAAGGGCGAGAAAAGAAATCATTCACTGCACACTCTGCGATTTTACGACTTCGATCTTCCTACTTCCGTGAAGAGCTGGCTAAAATCATCTTAAATAAAAACTCTACGGCTATTCTAAAACTTGATATTTCCACGGAATTTTTTAAAGTAATTCTCAAGTACGTAAAACCATTTTTTTTATTCGCATGTTTGTGATATAAATTAATAAGACTTTTCTTGCAGATATGTGTACGGAGGGATTATTGATTTGGAAAACATGAGCAATATATTTATATTTGATCTAATGGTCGTCGCTAATAAGCTTAAATTCGAAGAACTATCTCAAGGATTGGAAATTAATTTTATTGAAAACAATGCTCCTTGGTTGCGTACACATTTCTCATTTATCCACCATTCAACCTTCAAAAATCAGAATTTCAAGCGCTTAGAAAAATTTTGCAACGATATAATAGTAGAACATCCTAACATTATATTTGATACTGAGGACTTCACTTTTATCGACGAAACAGCTTTAGTTTCTCTTCTTAAGAGAGAAGACTTACAAATGAACGAAATAGAAATTTGGAAAAAGGTTATCCAATGGGGAATCGCCAAGCATAACAACACCTTATCACAGAATCCGGAAGAATGGACTAAGGATGACTTCATAACCTTAAAATCGACTTTGCAAAGTTGTTTGACATACATCCGTTATTCTCAGTTTTCTCATGAAGATTTATGGAAGCATATTAAGCCTTACAAAAGAATTCTTGACAAACAACTTTGGAATGATCTCAACAAACGTTTACTGTTTCCCAACGAACCCGTTACTTCGGTTATTTTACCCGCAAGAACAACAATTATACCAGAAAAGATAAAAGAACCTTTCTCAACGATTATTAACCATGATCATGCCGCAGAAATTTCATCATGGATTGATCGAAAAACAACCTTTTCACAAAATAACATTCAATACAAGTTTCAATTGATCCTAAGAGGAAGTCGCGATGGATTTGGTCTTAAAACTTTTTGGAATACGTGTCACAACTATGCAAACACGGTTACGGTTTTAAAAGTATCAGGAACGGACGAAATTCTTGGTGGATATAATCCCATAGCATGGGACAAAACAACTAATGGTGTTTGGGTGAATACAAATGATAGTTTCATTTTTTCATTAAAAAATGGAAATATTCAAAACTCAATTATTTGTCGAGTAAGGGATCCTTCTCGTGCTATTTACTATCGATCTTCTAGCGAGCAAAATAAGTCCGGTATATATTTCGGAGGTGGATTATTTATGTTCTCAGGAAAGTCCGAGGAATGTCTCGGTAGTTGTAACACTGAATCTTATTATGAGGGAGAGATTAGGGAACCGTATAAATACTTTTACATCGATGATTACGAAGTATTTAAGTTGGAAAAACAATGATGATTTCTTTTATTCTAATATACTGCATACTGTACATTATTAGCATGGCTACTTTAACTTTGTATATTTATTAACTCAACAAGAGGTGCATAAAAGACTTTAACCATCTAATCTATTACGCAAACCCTATGGTTAGTTAAACCTTATTTATCTCGTCTTTCGCCGTACGCGTCGCGCGACCGCGTTTCCTAATCTTTTTGGCGTCTCGCGGCCCGTTAGATGTTAACAATAAAAAAATTATAAGAATATTTATTTAAAAAACGATTTATACTATTTCACAGTAAACTCTGCTCAAAGTTTTCACATGTGATCATTATTCAATTTCACGTGTGTATATTTCATTCATTAAAATCAATACTTAATTTAATAATTTTATCTTTCACTATTTTTTTTTAAATAATTTACTTAATCAGTAAATACAGTTTTTTTTTAAGAAAATCATCAAAATACACTCCCCTAACATAAATGTGATAAATAATGACAAAAGATAAATCCGAAAAAAAAACTTTTTTTTTGTTTATTGGTAGAAAAAAATTTTTTATAGTATAAAAAAAAAATGCATTTGATTTTTAATGGAAAAAATCTTAAAGGCAAAAGATTGATATTTGATATGTTCATCTTTAACCTCAATAACATTTTTAATATATTTTAAAATACTTAAAATTAAATGTTATCAAGTTCTTATAAAAATATTTGCCCATTCTTCTTGGTGTTATAAATATTTTGTTTAAAAATAATAATTTATTTTATATTATATTTAAAAAGTAAAAAATCTTATTAATATATATTTATTTGTTTGATTACAATTATTTTTTTTTCAAAAAATGAATATAATTATTATAATTTTTTGATAAATTAAATTTTTAATGTATGTTTTTTTATTATAAAATTTTAGACTTGTAACAGGGCAAGATTTTATACTTAATATACGATATATGTCTTCCTTGCTAGGAAGGGTTTAACGCAAGGCCTATCATAAGGGCCTATTCACCTGCACTCCTTAGCACCATCCAAAAATACAGAAAAATGAATTTCAAAACCTATATTAAACTTTGAATGACATCTAGCTACCTAGAATAAATAATATCTAATTTAATACCCTAGCCATGGCAAAAACGAGGTGTCGGATCACGTGACTTCCGACCACTCTGACCCGATGATATACGGTTTCGAAATTGTATAGCCAATCAAAATACAAATGTATGATTATCGTTTTTTATTGATATAAACAAATACAAATTGATATACATAATATTAACGTAACCAAAATGCTAGTTTTCCATTTGTTTTCCACATTCTTTGCTGATGGCAAGCATGTAATGCTTCCTGACACCCCTCGATTTCTTTTACAAATGGCTTAATTAAACTATCA